CGCGCGCCGTTAAAACCGAGTCTGGCTAAGCGAGCGACGCCGCCGTCGTATCTCCTCCTTTCCAGCCACCCCCCCTCCCCCCACGCTCCTCCCTTATTTACGCGCAGATAGCCGAGGCTCGGGCGTTATTTGCGAGCGCGAGGTATTCGGAGGCTTGGCAGCTCCCGGGCTATGCACCGGGATGAAAGTGGTCCGGTCGGTTCGCGAGTGGATCGACTGGTCACCTACTTTTACATCTCGGCCGTTTGTCGGCGCGGCGGCGCGAGAGGGCTGCCGCCGCGCCGCCATCCATTTGTATGGCAAAATCCTGAGAATTGCGAGGGCTGGCCGCTTGTTCCGCCGGATCCCGGATTTAAAAGCGTTTCGGTGTAAACAGTCGTATCTCTCGCGGCATCGCCACCACCTAATTTTTTCTCCATTGACGATGCGCACCCGCAGTTTCCCGCTCCGCGCTCCCTTTTTCTCCACCCTCCCATCCCTCCTCCCTCTCTCTCTCTCTCTCTCTCTCTCTCTCTCTCTCTCGCACGTCACCCTCCGCGCCTGTTCCGCGAGGAAAGTCGCCGGGCGCGTCTCGTCATCCGCGAATATCCGCGATTCCCCGCGGAAACACGCGAGACCGCGGCGGAAACGTGCGCGATTGCTTCCCGCGATCATTTATCCAGCCTCCATTTCGGCGATCGTCTCATATCGCGATAACGTGTATTCGCTCCTCTCTGCGGTCTCTCCGAAACGTCTCTCTCCCGGTCTCTCGGCCGTCGTTCTTAATTGTCCTCGTTTCCTCCTCTCGCCCGGCGCTTCATTCTTTTCCGAGCGACCGCAGCCGAAGCGACCGGCAAATCCGCTTTACTCCCTTTGCCATTCGCGAAGCCAACAAGCCGGGCTCGTTTCCCCCGACGAGCGGCTCCGGAGACACCGGACGCGATACGCCGTCATGGTCGTCAATCCGGAAAGTTTGGCATTTTGCTTTATACCCCGCGCGTCGTCGTCGCCGTCGTTCGCGGAGAAAGAACAGGAGAACAATCGAGTCCTGTCCCCGAAGGGCGCGTCCGCCCGGAGAACTCGGAGCGAGGAGCGATCCCGCCCGTCGTCAAGGACGCGTCAAGCTTGAAGGAGGAGCGCGTAATTGCGCGCTCGCCGCTTTAAATCCGGCGATCTCGGGAATCTCCTCCGCGCGCGAGACGCGCCGCATGCGGGAAAAGGAGCCAAGAGAGAACGGAGAGACGCGTCCCATATGTGTCTGTCAGTCGTTCGCACTCATCCTTCTCGCTCGTCGAAGCTCGCGAGCGATGTACAATTTAGTCTCATGTCACACTAATTTAATACCGAGCGACGCGCTCATTTTTGCCTCCCGCTCGGAATTACCGTCGCCGCCGTTTGTGGAACACACGTGACGGCGAAGCGGTGAGAGGAAGGGAGAGGGAGGGAGGGGGGGGGTCGCCTTTTGGAGAACACGCGTGAGAGCACGGCGACGGAACGATCGATATTCTAAAAAGGCGACAGAGAAGAGCCGTGTCGGCTGCGAGCGTCGCGCGCGCGTTCGGTCGCGCTAACGATTTTCGCCGTCTATTTTGAGGAAAAACAGGAAATTTCCGTCGTCGCTTTCGTCGAACGAAAATATCGATTTTCGTTTGGCCGCGCGCGACAGCGCGGCCCGGGCGCGCCGGGGACGGGTGTAGAGCGACGTAGTCGCGGCGTGGTGTTTCGAGAAGATCGATAATTGGGGCCGGTCGCGGGGAATATTTGCTTTTGTTATTCGCCAGGCTCGTGCCACCGCAGATGCACGTTCGCGATATTAAAAAGATATTAGGACGTCGCGCTTAGAGACTGGACTGTAAAGCCGCGCGCACCGTTCTCAGACGGAGATTGTATTTCAGATAACGGTGAATTTTACAACGCGTCGCGATATATGGGTCAACGGAAAGGGGCCGTACGGAGGGGCGAGGAGGGGGGGGGAGAGAGAGAGAGAGGGGGGGCGAGGGTGCGAAAGCGGTGGAGATAAGGGTGTAACTCCGGTCGGATGGATCGTTCGTGCGACGATTATCTCGCGTGACAATGCGTTGCCGCAATTTCCGTCTACGCGACGGCGAGTTTTAAGAACTCCATTTAAATGCCACGGCCTCTAATCAAACAGGAGAAGGAGCGAGTGTCAGGGAGTTTATCGCGTATTGCTGTAATTGTGCGTCCTCGTGGAATATATAGCTCGAGAGACGGCGTAGCGAATGAAATTAACGTTAACAATTCGTTGGCACTCTCTCCCTCTCTCTTTCTCTCTCTCTCTCTCTCTCTCCCTCTCTCTCTCTTTCTACTTGCCCTTACGCCGGAACAGGAAAGAGAAAAAACAGCGTGGTAAGGCGTAACTGCCAGCTGATGAATTAAAGAAGCGGAGTTAATAAACTAAAAGTAATCGCGCGTTCGCTCGCCTGTGCACGCCGAAGAGCGAATCAAAGAGTTTGTAACTTGAAAGTTTTTAATTTCCGTGCAAGTTTTATTATTTTGCCAAAGAAGCGAGTTTTTAATTTAAAATCCGACGCGATCATTGCGCGCCTGCGGTGACAATCGGCCGCGTTAGAGCTCTCCCGTTCGTACGAAGGGAGCGGCGGAGACTCGTAAGACTCTAACGAGAAGCGACGATTCGTCGCGTGAACGGGAGCTCCCGATGATTACGAGGAGGCAGAGCGAAGGAATAAAACGAGAGAAAGAGACGGAGGAATTGAAATGGCGAAAGTAATCGGGAAGCGACGAAGATACTTGTGCGAATATCTCGGACGGCGCGCGATCGACATCAGCTGATCATAAAGCGACGCTTCGAAAATAGAAACGGCGGAAGAACCGCGAATCGCAATCGAGATCGAAAGAGAGAGAGAGAGAGAGAGAGAGAGAGAGAGAGAGAGAGAGAGAGAGAGAGAGAGAGCGAGAGGGAGAAGGAGCGGCGAGGGGGAGGGAAAACGGAAGGAAGAGAGAAAAGGAGAGCAAGAGAGGCGAGTCCTGCTGGACGGCTGCCACAAGGCGCTTCGAAAGTAACGATCTCGTTATCGTTCCGCCTCGAGAAGCGAAGGACTTAAGATAATAAGTTTGTATGGGAGGATGGAGAGAGTCCTTAATAAGAAACCGGAGCGCTCTCTCGCGCGCGCAGGAGGGAAATGGCTCCTGCTTACTCCCCCCTTCCCCCCTCTCTCTCTTTCTTCCTGCTCACCGTCATCCGCATCGGACCACTCAACTTATTAATTCCATTAATATTTCTTTCATGCGATTTGACGCACCCCGACGCGCGGTGAGATTATTAAAAGCGCGAGCGCGAGGACGTGAGGAGGAGCCTTAATGCCCTCGGAAATTTCGTCTTCATTACTGGACGGTGCTTATTTAGGAAATCAACCGATCCTTCTGGGATATCGCGCGAAATGCCACTTATCTCTCTTATCTCGCAGTGTCACACCCTACCTTGCATTGTTCTCGAGGCACTACCCTTAACCCTTAAGCTCATTCTCCTTATTGTCTAATATACAGCCTACCTCTCGTGAATTGTTTTTTGCGGGGGGAGGGGGGGGGGTATAATTTTCCAAACTGTCAATCGAAAAGTTCCTTTAATGTAGAAAGCCGATTCCACCGACACGATCATTCGTATTTTTGTCGAAGAGAAATCACGAAATTGTAGATAAAGAGAAAACGTACGCGGATAATCCACGAGAGAGAGAGAGAGAGAGAGAGAGAGAGAGAGAGAGGGAGGGAGAGAGAGAGAGAGCAAATGAAGTACGACCGATAGATCTGCCGTTGCTGTTTCTCGAAAAAAAAAAAAAAAAGAAAAAAAAACGCGCGGCAGCGACACAGCCGTGCGCGACGTAACTGTGTGACGCATTTGCAAATAACCCATTAAATTTGACGGGCTCGACCGACACAAAAGTCCCCGTGACATTAATTAATCTCGCTCGGTCGAGTAAAACGCACACAGATTCGACGGCCGATGCGAACGCGCGCATATATCCGCTCGCCTCGCTCTCGCGGTGATTACATGCAGCGGATCGCTCGGCACGCCCGCTGAAGACGTGTGGGTGCTAATCAAACGCGCTCGCATCGATCAGCGACGATGGACGATCATCGCGCGACGAGTGTCTCACGCGTTTGATTTTTCGAGGAACGTTCGATAGTTCGATAGGCTGACGAGACGAGAAACCGCCGTCCGTCCGTCCGTCCGTCCGTCCGTCAATCCGACGTCGCCGGCGAGTGTAATCCCAAGTTCGTCTCTCGGAGCGGCCGCGAGAAGAGAGCCACGAGCATCGGCTCGTTCGGAGCGGGTCGAGAAAGTCGAGGAAGATTTCGAGAACAACGGCGCGGTCCTCGCGGCTGAAGCGACTCGTCGGGGAGAAGGCGAAGTTGTCCGCCGTCATCTCCGTGAAACATTTCGGTCACTGCACATTGTTGCGAGAGGAGTGCACGGGCGAGAGGAATCGGGAGAGACGGAGCGAGAGGTGGTCTGGCGGGGGAGGACGGGTGCCACAGTGGCAGGGGGTGGCAGGGGGGAGACAGAGAGAGAGAGAGAGACAGAGAGGGAGAAAATATCCGACACCCCGGTTGGTTGGTCCGCCTCTGTCCGACGGATGACGTCCACGATCAAGCTCCACCCACACACATGCCCCCAGCCAACGCACACATACGCACACGCACACGTACACCCCCGCACGCACACGCTTACGCACACACGTACAGAGAGAGAGAGAGAGGGGGGGAGGGAGAGAGAGAGAGAGAGAGAGAGAGAGATAGTTACGCCAGCCGGTGCGTACGTGTGGAAGCCGACACACGCGCGACATTCGCAAGCTCACGAACCACCCTTCGAGAGACTCGAATCAGGGGAGAGAATGAGAGAGAGAGAGAGAGAGCGAGAGAGAGAGAAAGAGGAAGAGAGAGAGATAGAGAGAGAGAGAGAGAGCGAGAGAGGGCGGGAGGGAACTGGTCCGCGGTCAGAGTTGGCGAGAGAGCTCGCGAAGTAAAGGGTTGCGACAGCGTACCTTCTCGGGGGTGATGAGCGGCGTGATGTACGTGGTGACCGCCGTCGTGTATACCTTGCGATGACCACTGGATGAGAGAGAGAAGCTGCAGGTCACTCAGTACCACCGTGGAGTACCGAGTGCCGTGCGATCGGCGCGTCGCTCTTCCTCCGCGGCAGAGGAGCAGGCCCGGAGATTCGACTGGGACTCGATCGATCGATCCGATCGACCGGTCCGGAGCGCCGAGACTTTGGCGCCTCCGTCGAGGACACACGCGCGTGTACCTGTTGTCGAGGTCGTGCTCGTGGTCGTCGTGCTCGTGTGCACGTCTGTCCGTCCGTCCGTGCGTGCGCTGGTCGATCGTGCGACACGGCCGAGAATTTTCACACTTCCGTCGGTCTCGTCGCGGCGAGAGAGAGTTCACTGCGCGAAGCTCGGGGGGGCTCGCGCTTGTACCCTACCGAGCGCGCTTTCCACGATACTCCTCTGCGCTGTCGATCGGACCGACAAACCACTGATCCTGGTCAGTCTGTCTCGAGCAGGTTGCCCTCGACGCCTCGCACACAATATACGTCTCTCTCACAGTCTCTCCCGGGGGTTACAGGTACTACGATCTGCAGACGTGACACGGTCGTTGCTCGCGCCGTTGCTCACCGGACGTACACTTTCCGCGACGTGTGGGCAAGACACTGGGGGGAGGGGGAAACGATCGGTCGATCGGGCGCTCGATGACGTCGTCGACGACGACGACGACGGACGACGGATAACGCACGACGAACGTGACGACGGTATCAGCGGTTCGCGCGTCTTCTCTCCCTCCGCGGCGCCGGCTATATTCCTCTCTGTCTCTCTCTCTCTCTCTCTCGGCTCGGCTCGGCTCGGCTCGGCTCGGCGCGCGCTCCCTCGTCTGATCTCTCCAAATGTGTGGAACCGGTCACGTCGTGTCGGACGATTCGTCGTCGTTTATCCTCCGCTGGTACCGCACGACGCGGGGAGGATGCCAACGAGACGGACGAAGAACACTCCGGGACAGACAGAGAAAGAGAGACAGAGAGAGATAGAGAAAAAAGAGAGAGGGAGAGAGAGAAAAAGAGAGAAAAAGAGAGAGAGAGAGAAAGGGAGAGAGAGAGAGAAACAGGACAGGTCGACTCGCGAGAACACACAGGCAGGTGGTCGTCGTCGCGCTCTTCGTCGCCGTACGTTGTTAGGTTCAATGCTGCACGCTGTGATGCCGAGAACAGAATGGGGCGATCGTGGAGGCCCGGGCAGTGAAGCCGTAGCGAGGGGAGGTGAAGAGGTGACGCGCGGGTGGCGGCGGAGTGGGGTGTCGGATAGAGGGGCGAGTGAATATTCCGGGAAGGGGCCCCTTCATCCCGCTCTTTCACGTCCTCCGCCCTCAAGCGAGAGCTACCCCTCCGAGGCGCGCAGGCGCCCCCGGGGGCGCTACCGTCGCTCGAGGGGGGTGCGTTTCCAGAGGAAGACGAAGGGAGAGCGAGCGATCTAGAGAGAAGGGTGGAAGAGCAAGAGCAAGGGGTTGCGTGTGAGAGAGACGGAGAGAGAGAGAGAGAGAGAGAGAGAGAAAGAGCGAGAACGAGAGCGAGAGGGAGAGAGAGAAAGAGAGAGAGAGCGCGCGCGCGAGGGAGCGAGGGAGCGAGACAGGCAGACACGGGCAGACAGAGAAAACGTGAACGCGAGGGCGAGAGCGAGAGAGGAGAACACGGGCTCTCCTTCTCGCTCGCTTCCTTCCTTCCTTCACCAGCAGCAGCACACCCCAGCATCGACCGACGCGCCACACTGCTCCGAGCCGTTCGTAGCTTCTCCTCCCGCGCCCTCCCTCCCTCCCACCCCTGCCCACAAACCTTCTCGCCACGCCGACCCAACGGGAATACTTAATGCCAGAAGGGAGAGAGAGAGAGAGAGAGACAGAGACAGAGAGAGAGAGAGAGAGAGAGAAAGAGAGAGAGAGAGAGAGAGGGGAGAGGAAGAGGAAGAGAGAGGCTGACTGCCTGACTGCCTGCGCCAAGCCACGCTCGCTTGACGGCGGGATGGCAGCGAGGGTGGCCAGCGCACAGAAGTGGAGAGGCTCGCGCGAGTCGCCGGATGTTGCTCGCGAGAGTTTCGCGGCTACTTGTTACACGTCGTCCGCAAGCTGCCGCCGAACTGGCGACGAGATTTCGCGGGAACGATAGGTCGCTCGTGATATCTCGCTCGCCGAGAGACGTGAGTCTCTCCGCTCGACCGCGCGCGTTCTGATGGAATTCGCGTCGCGTATCAACCGCATGAACCAGCCACGCGCGATCAATGGGTCTTGCTCGCCGAGTCGCGGGGGTTAAAAATAGCGCGAGTAATCTGTCGGCCGAGATGGCGGCGCGGCGGCGGCGGAGGAGAGCTGTCGCATCGTTTAAAAATTCGACAACGAGACATCGGGAGTATAACGAGGGTGCAAGAGACCGGGTCCGGCCCGCTCGATATTCTATCGACAGCTGCCGAGATAGCGCTACAGCGATAACCCGCTGGTCCAAGTAGTTGCAGCCCTCGCTGGTGAACGGGAGAGAGCCTGTTCGACCAATATTGACCACTACTACTCCCGTCGGATCCCGAAGCCAAGTGCCTCCTCGGCTACCTGCCTACCTGCCTGCTTGCCTGCCTGGCTTGGCTGGCTGGCTGGCTGGCTGGCTGGCTGGCTGGAGGCCAGGGTCTTCCCTCTCGCTCGTCTAACGTTTCGGTGTGAACGTATCCTACGCTTAACGCGGAAGGAAGGGACTAACCTAACCCAGAAAGATTTCATTGAGCCGCAACGTGACTTAGCCGGCCATCAGTACTATAGACTTCGCTCGCTCTCTTTCTCTCCATCTTCGCGGCAAGTCTCGCAATGACCGTCGCCGCCGTTTCGGAAGAAAGGGAAAGAGGACCTGCCGTAAGAATCGCCATTTTTTGGGAAATACCGCCGCTTCGGAATACGCCGTCGAAGCGTCTCGGATAAGGTCCAATGGTTCTGGTTATCGCGCGGGATAAGCGACCGTTCGGACCGTTTCGGAACTCGGGTCAAGCTTTCGCGGGAGTATGTGGTACTGATATCGATATGACGTTTTTTTCGTCTGCCTCCCCTCGCTCTTCCTCGTCCCTCTCTCGCGCTCACGTACCCTCTCTCTCTCTCTCTCTCTCTCTCTCTCTCTTTCCCTTCGTTATCGCCGTGGGGAGATAAGAAATTTAGTTTGTTTGTCTGTCGCTCGTAGCACGGTACGAGGGATACCGATAACGCCAACGGGAGCGGCGGCATTCCCAATTCTCGGATGATGGCGCTTGCGAGAGACAAGGTGAAGGGGAAGGCGGGCCTCCGCTTGCTCGCGTGCATTTGGCTTGCATCCAAAGCGAGACGCTGAATGAACTTGGCGGGAAAACCGCATTGGCGCGTGTTTCCTTCTGTCGTACGACAGACGCGACTACAATGGTTGGCAATATCCTTGCGCCGGCTGCGTAGAGACGTCTCCATGTTGGGAAATAACACTGAAGATAACCTGGGAATTTATCGACTCCCTCTCGCGCTAGTAAATAAATTTGCGCTGTCTCAATCCGCGGCTTTATTCCGCGGCTTTTATCGGCGGACCGGCTTTTCCTTCTTTTTCCTCCCGTTTTCCCCTTTTCTTCCTTTTCTTTTTTCTCTTTCTTCTTTTTTTTTTTTTTCCCGACATAACTCGACATTTTGTTTGCACCGCCACATGTGCGCCGCGCGCGCGTATTAAAAGCCAATGGTTTCGACGTCAATCATTGTTAACCCGTAAAATTAATTCCTTTTTGCGCTCTCTTTCCCCGCGCGCCCGCCGCACCCATCCGGCTGTAATTTAGAGAAACGCGTTGTTCATTTTCAACGCGATGTAACTTACGTTCCGAGGCATTATCAATTTCGGCGGAATGTCAGCGTGAAAAACGGGACAAAAAAATCGTCCGTCGTCTATATGCGCCAGCGCGAAATTTTCAAACACTGCGCACACATCGTCGCCGCTCGCGCTCGAGCGCCGCGTTCCTGCAGCAAAGCTCTCGATATATTGAAAACAAAAAAAAAAAGAGAAAAAAGAAAAAAGAAAAAACAGGAACAGATTAACGTGTCGATTTAAAACCCAGACGACGAGGCGCGCCCACCTGGGCGATCTTCAATTCCGCGCTTCGGCTCGTTTCGGCACGTTCCATTACGTTACCTTGCGGTTGCGTATTTATGGTGTAATAACGGAGCGTTACCGCGGAAACGGTTAGTGGTGGGCGAATGACGGATTATTCACTGGCCTCGAGATTTCGACCGGTCAATGTGATCCCGTAACCGCTTCGACGATCCCACAATAATCATTACTCTGGGGGCTGTCGACTGCCAAGGATGACATGTAATCATGATATTGGCACGTAACTGAGTTATCGCGCCACACGGAAGGGTCCGCCCTTTCCTCCGGGGGTTCCCTTCGGTCAACGTATATTCTACCGGGCGAGCAGATCGACGAGACGTTAATGCGATCGAGCCGTTAGGCATCGCGTGGATCCCTAACGCTAAGTGAAACGTTCCTGATGCGCCCCCCCCTCCCTCCTCGCCGTCTGCGCCGTCCGCGCGAGCAGCGAAAAACCGACACCGGTCGAACCGGTGACGTGTTAATTAATTTGAATGTGACGTATCGTGCGCGCGGATATTTTCCGCGAGCGGAAATTTAAATAAAATACTGATATTGCTGCGATGGATCTGAATTTTAGCACACACGCACGCGACTAAATTGACATGCTCTGTGTAGAATATTGAATTAACGATTTTCTCTGTGTTTATCAAATATTACAATAAATATTTCGTTAATGTAATACTTCCGCCGAGCGCGCGATGCAGACCGTAATAATGGAACCGATACCGAAGCGACGCGGAGCATTAAAATGAAAAAAAGAGAGAGAGAGAGAGAGAGAGAGAGAGAGAGAGAGAGAGAGAGAGAGAGAGAGAGAGAGAGAGAGAGAGAGAGAGAGAGAGAGAGAAGAAAAACGTCGTGTCGAAA